TTATTGTCCATTTGCTCATCAATAATCAGATTCTAGGACATCATATTCTCATTAGAAAATTTATTATTTATTTAGAAAATTTTTAAGATTTAAAAATATTTTAATTATTTAATAAGCATTTAATAAACATTGTACTAACCGCAGGCTGTGGAATATGTAGAACTTGCGCTCATTTCTGGCGAGAGCACAATGTTGAATAAGGTACTGCATCATTATTACGCAAATAAGCTTTGTAAAAACCTCTTCGTCTTCGAGCATTTTATGTTCATCGTGTATATACCACTCATTATGGGTCACTGTTCTCTAAAATAATATATTTAGTTATTTTTCATTAAATTTTAATATTTGAAGGTTTATAACGGTATCTACGATTGGCATTTAAAATAACAGAAAGATTTAAGACTGTTCCGTTTCACGCATGAAACATGATGCATCATAATATCCTTGTTGTTTATCAAATATTAAATAAACTAAAAGGATAAAGTATGTGCATCATGCGTGAAATGGAACGTAGTCTAAGAGTGAGGTTTCTTGTGTACCTAAATTAATGCAATGAAAAATGCGCGTATACAAACAATTCAGTAATTTGACTTACCTTATTGCAATACGAAATGCTTATCTTTTCGATTGTCTGAATTTTTCTAATCCCACAATTAATTTCGTCAGAAATTCGTCAGAAGTACACGGCTTGCAGTTTCGTGTGTGAGCAAGTATCGAATAACAATCGAAAACAAGTACGAATCTTTCAAATTATTAGCCGTATGAGCCTGTTCAGGTCAGTTCAGGCACTTCGAGGCAGCCGCAGCACGTGAACGGTTGTGAACATTTACACATACATACAAGAAGTGGTGGGGACACGCATTCATCGGAAAATACATCGAACTGAGATCACTGCATACGGTCATAGTCATTGTGTGATTTGTGTGAACGAAATCGAGTAATGAACCAGCGCGAGAATCAAGCCGATAATTTAAAGCTCCTCGTACAAACAAAAAGGTAAGCTTCGTCGCTGTCCAACATCTTGCTCGTAATTCAAGTAATGGCAATTTGATTTTCACTTCAGATTCAATCAATGCTTCGCATTCAAATTAACCAAACCAAAAAAAAAAGGATAAGAAAACGAATTATCGATCAGGATAGCGGATCGATTTTTTTGTGAATAACACTGTTCAACTGTGTACATGTGCTCTACGCTTTGGCGTAAGAATAACACGTAAGTTAAAAAGATTGTATTTACACTTTTTTAGCCGAAGTATATTATACTTTTCTTAGGCTGCGTTCCGTTTCACGCATAATGCATGATGTATTATTTTATATATTCTTGTTCTACCGAATGTTAAACAAGAATAAAATGCTATATCATGCGCGTCACGCGTGAAACGGAATGCAGCCTTAGTCGCAGAGCGTGAAACATTTGAATTTCTTTTCTTCATTAGAAATATCTATATGAAAAAACTACAAGAAACCGTGATTTATTTTAACGGTTTGCACCATTCAGATCGTGTCCTTCCTTTGTCTCATGTGTGTAACCGCTATGCGTTTTTAAAATATAAATAAAAGACTTTTCTAGATCCAGATAAATATAAATAAATGCTTTTGTCTCCCTGCTTTGTTTGTAAAAAAGTTAAACGCTTACACTAGTTTAGCTTTAAAAAAAAGGCTAACGCGATTGATCGTATTGTCTTAATCCTATCGTATTATCTGTCCTTTTCTATTATTCTGTCAAATCTTGGTTTGTCTTAAAATATTACATATTTATTTTATTTCAGAGCTTAAGAAAAAGGCTATCGTGATTGACCGTATATTGTCTTTTAAGTTTTAATCCTATTGTATTATCTGTCCTTTTCAAATCACGGCGTAGAAAATTCCTTTCTCATTTTGTATATCATATTCTATTTTTTCACATCTTTTTTTGCTATATGCTAGTTGCACTGCATATTTTTATTTTCTTTGTTTTTATTTATTACAAAATCTATACACTTTTTTCTGTAGACTGTTCATTTTCCGTTTACATTCCTCTCGACTACAAAATAGAACATTTAAACATTTATAATATTTATTAACTTTATTATTATTAATTACGAATTTATTATTAATTTACCTTTATTATTAATTATTTATAATAATTATTAACATTTATAATAATTATGATCATACGCACTTATTTTCCATCTTTTGTTAATTTATCCTTCTGTTCTTTTTTTATAGTTTTTACTTGAATCTCATAACCATAGCTTTGTTTGCATAGCTTGCCACACCGTGGCAGGGGTGTAACGTGGAAGGGACTCGTAGTGACGATTGTTGATAATGATGCGCACAGTTTCACTGCTTATCACAATGACTTTATTTGATGTACTATCTTACAACTTGTTCACTCGCGTGGTACGCGCGCCGACAGCATAACGTTATACGTAACGATTAGATTTGAACTCCGCAGTGGTCCGCTGGACGGCG